TCAGACCCCTCTGCCTACCAGGTCCACAACTGCAGCTCTTTTTGCTGGCTCTCTGTGCTTGGCCTGTGTTCCTCATGCAGTGTCCCTGTTGTCTAGTCTTACCTGCTGATTGATCACTGTCAGTTTGAAGGAGCTGAAGTTGTCAGCCTGATGAGACTGATTCCTTTTCCAGAGATGAAGAAAGAGCATGCCTTTGGTTCAAAAGTTTCTTTGAACAGTCTTCTACCAAGATACTTCTTTTTCAGTTTGACCTACATCATCTTAATACTCCTCTCTCTCTTCATTTGAATCCGTTGCTTTTCTTCCAGTTGAAGTATAATCAGGGTGCTATAAATGAGTGAAAAAGCCTTTAATAAAGTGGGCAGTATTAAACCGTTTTTTATGGTCACTAAAAAGCCAGGGGTGAGGGGGCTTGCAATCCGCTAATACAGATGTTGGGGACAGTCCCCTCTTCGGGCTGTTGTCTCTGTTTTTTTGTTTTACAGTTTTCTGCTCCAATCAGTGGAACCCCACACATGGGCAGGTGGCGTGGGCCACACTCACACCACGTTCACACACTCACCGCTTTCGTCCAGGAAGTGGTGGTTGAGTGAATGAAGTTCCGGGAAGCCAGCTGTCAGGACCCGCATCTTCGGAGCTCCTTGTACTGATCCTCACCCTACGACAACCCACCACAACCACCCTCAAGTTAAGAGGGGTCCATCATAACCTGCTAGTTTTTTCCCCCAGAGGGAATACGTGTGTTGTGGGTAGGTGGGGATCTAGAGAAGTACATGAAGAAAAGATAGACAGCTTCTATCCCCAGTGAGAAAACAAGCTAAATTGCCCAAAACAGGGCGAGAGATAGCTGCATCAGTACCACCCCAGGTGAGGCATTTTTAGTTACAGCAATGACTGGTTGGGGCTAATGGCATCGAGGTCACTAGGACTAGGGGTGACATATTCTAAGATACACAGCACAGTCCCATGCAGTAAAGAATTGTCCCACCCCCGGCCCCCTTTTTAATGTCTTACAACACATTCATGTGGGTCAAAGCACTGTTTGTAAGTATCTGAGCTTAGAACTTAACCCTGTGTCACATAAAAACACTAAGTCATTCCTTTTGGACTGTCCTCTCCCCTGCTCCCCAGAGTGTTTAAAGGAAAATGAGGCCAACTCTGGGCACACGCTACTTACATGCTTTAATAACAAAAATAGGAAAAGCAAACAGTTATTGTTATAAATACAATGAGATTTGCAGGCTTTTAAAAGGGAAGACCTATTATTACAGTTCAGAAACTATTTATATGACTTCCAGAAATTTAGTCACAATAGGTTTGCACGAATTAAAATGAAATTTTTGCTTGTGAAGTGAGGGCAAGGTAGGGAAATCAGTATCATTACATAACCCCATTAGAGGTCCTGCAAGTTGGAAGGGATTATTATTTCTCTACTCAAACATCAAGGACATCTCCTACCCGATTTCACAGCTGCTACAAACGTGAGCAGCAAAGCGATGGTGCCGAGTTGTCTCTGTTCTATTAGGACTCTACAGTAACTGTGATGTGGGAATCAGTGGAATGCAGTCATGCACGTCATCCCACAGTCACCCCACAGTGAATGAAGGAGGGTTCTGATGACAGCCAAAATAGGTTGGCTGCTTATGGCGGCTTTGTTTTCCTATCTCTAGGGTGGACACATGGCCACTAAGCAATGCCCACTCACTTAGGCTAACCCGAAAATAGCCCGCTGACTACAGGTTGCCAGGCAGCTGGATTTCTGATGCCATTGCCCCAAGTGCCTTCTCTAGAAGCCAGTGTGAAGCAGTCACCTCCTCTTTCCTGCAGCTTCCAATGAAGCATAATATTTAAGCGGCTGATTAAGTATTCAAAACATACGATTTATGTTGGTCAACCTTAAACACCTTATTCTTTAAAAGTATACATCAACATTATGAAAGAACAACAGCAACAAAAAAGACATGGTGGACAAGTCAAAAGTGACTATAATTTGTATCTTAATAATACAGAGGAGGTGAAATTTGAAGTTCACGTTAATACGAGAAAACTAAATGACGGTGCGCCTGAGTGGCACAGTCAGTTAGGTCTCCAACTCCTGGTTTCGGCTCAGGTCTGGTCTCAGGGTCGTGGGATTGAGCCGCATGTGGGGCTCCACACTAGGCTCAGAGTCTACTTGAAATTCTCTCTCTCTCTCAAATAAGTAAATAAATATATATTAAAGAAAACTAAATGAAAATGTTAACCTAACTGGGAAAGTTCAAGTCAGAGCGTGAGGTCTCCATCTTCCCCTGTCTTGTATTATCTGCTTTGTTTTTAGAAACCTGAAACTCTGGGTAATGAAAACTCTGTGTTCCAGCAGCAAAAAGTCACTCACTGTGCTTGAAACTCACTGAAATGCCAGACTAGTTTTACAATTGATATTATAAAAGAAGGGTGGTGTGGAATCATTTGGATACCAGTTGGGGGAGTATGGTAGGGTGAGTGAGATACCCACTTAGGTTACAGATCGGAAAATCTCAGCTTACACAGCCATGTTTGTCAGCTTAACACCATTAGGCTCCTTTATCTGGTGACCACCCTGTAATGGAACCTTCCACTTCCTCCTCATGTTTCATACTCAGCAGGAACAACTTCAGAAACTACCTTCAGACATCTTTATTAATCTTCCAAGTGTGCCTACGTGATAATCTATATTTTTAGTTGCCTAGAAACCAACCTAATAGGTACTTAAAACCTTACTGGTTTTCTGTGTCTGGTCCGTATTGCAAAATATCACAGATTCTGTTCTGTGATTGCTTAAATCTAACACTGTTTTCAAATTAGCTGTTAATATGCCACCAGGATCAATTCTATGAATTTTCAAGCAAACCATTTGAAGGAGTATTGTTAGTAACATGCACTTACTGTGTTGGTCTTTTTCTTTATTCTAATACTGAATTTTTTGCCACCAGTCATCTTCTCAGTTATCAGCAAGACTTAAAATGATGTTAGGCTATGAAATGGAGCAAGGGCACAACTTCCTGCACGTACCAGATGTCAGATGTTCCGTGCCATCCCCTCTTGATGGGAGGCGTTATTGATCAAATACCGGATTCTGCTGTAGTGCATTCTGGAGCCCCACTTTGTGGGAGAAGCAAGGAGCCTGACATCTCTGATTTTATACTCTTCAGAGCAGCCAGCTCGTCCTCCAAGCTGTAGCCTTAAACAGGGTCCTCAACTGTCCCCGCTGCCAATTCTTCCCTCCGCCTGCTGGCTGCGGGCCGCTGGCCTCCCTTGGCGCGGCGGAGCCGGTGTAGTGCTGGTTGTTGTACAAGCAAATGTCAAATTCTCTTAGAAGTGAGTTTTCAGTGCTCTGAAGAAAAGAAACTAAAAGAAGTGAGTTTACGTTTTCCATAAGGGAAGATCCTAACAACATGATTTATAAAATGCCTCGGGCAAACACTGTTCTGAAGTTGTATACCCGTTTTCTGATCTGAAATGAGATTTTCATTACTTTTCAGAATCAAAATTAATGAGAGTCCTTCCATTTTCACAGGCTTTTTTTTTTTTAAGTAGTAGTATTTATTACCAATTTGCAGACATTTACAGAAGGACTTTGGAGACACACTTGAACTGTAGAATGTTAGCATAATTGTGGTTCCTAAATTAGCATAAAACCTTAGTATTTCTTACGTATATTTTCTTGCTCACATGAAAAAAATGTCATATTTTAATGCCACTTTTGGATGATGTACCTCTGCTATGTTCTGGTCCTTGCAATGATGGAGGCAAAATGAAACCACATTTGGGAATGGCATGTGGTTGAGACACTTTTTTCTCTAGGTCTCGAGTATTGACCCTGGAATTTGCCCTGGCACATGGGATTTGATGAAATCTGTTGGCCAAGAATGTCTTTGAACAATGATTCTTCTGGTGTTGCTACTCACTGTATTTTATGTTAGTAAAACCTCACTGGACTATACAAGGAGTGTTCAGTTCTTGTGTGATGTAGTGTGGGCAGGACCGTAGCTTTACGAGCTTTGTGTTTTATCATACCCTTTGAGAGATCATCAATACTTCTGGAAGACATAACAATTTGATATTTCCTCACAGTCTTGAGTTGGTAATCCTGGATGCGATTATTCAGTATCCCAGCCACTATGCTAAGAATGACTTGTGACTGGATATTAATCAAACAGGTTTTTAAGATAGCAGATTCTCGGGTGTTAAACACAAACAATGAATCATGGAACACTACATCAAAAACTAATGAGGTAATGTATGGTGATTAGCATAACACAGTAAAATAAAATTAAAAAAAAAAAAAAGATAGCAAATTCTCTACTCACATACCAGTTAAAAGGTCTTGATTTTTAACTCCCTGAAAATTCAGGACTAGGCGGGAAAAAAAGCGGGAGGCTTTCTGTATGTGTGTATATGTATACGGTTTAAATATGCACACACACACACACGTACTCAGTTTCTGTCCTCTTTCCTAAAAAGTGCTTTCCCAGGTCTCAAAAATAGATACCATAAATTTAAGGGGGAGAGAGAGAAAAGATCATTTTAAATTGTAAGTATTTGTCATATATGCGTTTGGTAGTCAAAATAATTTTGAGTAAGTGATATGGTACAGATCAGTAACATAAGTTAGCAAGAGGGTGTAGGGGATGCTCTGCTGGTTGTTTTGATTGTATTGAATCTCTCTGGTGCCCGTAACATACTCTACCCTGTGTGGTGATACATGTAATTTTCTTAGGCTCCATCAGACCTCCCATGCTGAGAAGTGTATGGGTGACATGGCTTGCAAGCTGGTCACTCACCCCTAAAGAAAACAGTCCTGGGTCACAACATAGAACCCACATTATAACAGCAGCTGTGGAGGGAGTTCTAGAAAGTCCCAGACATCACACTTCATAAACGTTCTCCTTAAAATCCCCCCTGCTTCGTCACTTGCAAACTTTTGGAATTAGAAAGGTTCTGATATAACTAATAACATATTTATCTTCTCCCCCCTTAAGGTCAAAAAATATTTTGAACTTGAACCCCTTGCACGTGGGAAACGCTGGATTCTACAGCCCTGCTCGCTGGATGACATGGAGGCACTGAAAGACAGCTTCTCTCAGCTGATCAATTTGTTAGAAGAAAAAGACCATGAAGCTGTAAGAATGTGAAATCTGGCAAAGAACACGGGTTCCCAAAGGCCTTGAACCTATCATGTTAGTTTTTCATTTTATTTTTATTTTGGTATCAAGACTTTAATGGCTTCAGTGTCTCTTTTCCTCTAGTTATCTCAGACTGTCATCTCTCTATTAGAGTGAATATTCTGTAAATCAGGTGAATTATCATCGGCATTAACGTCAAGTACACACTACTGAGAGAGAATTTATTCTCTGTTTACCACTAATTATCTTCACCGCATGTCTCTTCCTTCTGTTCTAAGCAGCTCTTCTATACTCTGTGCTAAAATGGGTGGAATTCATGGCTCACAGAAATCAAATCCCTTATGAAGGACCCAGGGAGACTCAGAACCTTGACTCATTTTCCCTGGGTTTGGGGGTGGAGCGTTATGTGACTGGGGCTCCTCATTTTATGTCTATTGTTTCCAAGATCTCTTGGGGGTTTTATTTTATTTTATCATATTTTATTCTTGAGTTTTTTTTTGTATACGGGCCTTATAGATAATGAGAGAAAAATGAGCACCAAAAACTTCAATGAATCTCCTTATCAGAGAGGAACATCCTGCCAAGATAAAATTAACATGGACGAACTTAAAGACAAGATGCATAATTTCCCTGATTCCATCTGAGGTCTCACTCCCCTCTCTTAAGAGCAAAAACTTTCCGTTTTTGAGACAAGAGAGAATTTAGGCACAATGCATGCGTGCATCACTGATGACTATTTCATCGAGTCCTCAAATATTTTTTTAGTGGAAAGATTCCCCTGCATAAAGTCAAGCTGCAACATAACAGAGGTATCTTTTTCTAAAAATCTAAATTGTCTGATTGAAAGAAAATAATTTTTAAAATAATAGATAAAAATTTTAAAAACAGCCAAAATGAAATATGGTTTATACTGACGAGGTTTAAGCTGGCATGGATTTGACAAAGAAAACAAAGACAGAGTCATCTGTATATTCATTCATTAAGTGCTAATGGAGTTTAACGGAGTCGCTGATTGTCTCCAACAAGTAATTAAAGGTCTATCAGTATTCCTATTATAAACCTCTATTTTCAGGGGTTTCACTGTGCCCTTAAAAAAATGTGCTGGGGCTGCAGCAAATCATTTTAGGGCCTAGATTCAGTCTTTGGAACTTTTTTTTTTTTCATTTAATTTAAATGATAAAATTATGTAGAGATAAATGTGCAGTTTTACTAAGGTTTGGCACCACTGACCTTTTCTAAATCAAGAATAACCTATGGATATTGAAGTTTATGGATGTAATACTCTTTGGCATATTTTGTAGACTTTTGACCACTTCAGACACAAAATGGCCAAATGATAGAAAACTGCTCCTTTCACCTGAGCAATAAAAACATGTTTGTAATTTTTAGGTAGCACAGACTGGTTCTCAAATACCACAGACTCTCACTGTATTACACGGTGATGTAATACCTTGTAATTCTCCAGAAGATATACATCATTCAAATACAGCTTTTGTGGTTTAATCTTGTAGGTGGATTTTAATGAAATCATTACCTTTGAAACATCGACCACTTCTTTAAGCTCACCCCCCCCCATGGAATGGATCCAAAAAGGTGCATATTTGATCTTGTCTCCAGCGTCCTTGAATATTTTTCACTGTGTAATCCGTGAGTGGCACAAAACTTTTATTCCGACGACCAGTTACACAATCCCTGCTTTCATTTTTGTTCTGTTGCGCTCATCTTCTGTGACAAATAAATGATTATTAGGCATTGCTTTCTCGGCAAGTTCATTAAATGTAGAATGTTGTCTTTTTAAGACCTGGTGGCTGAGTGCTCCTTAGCCATCTGTTTAATGACTTCCCGTTGTCTGTGTGTGTGTGTGTGTGTGTGTGTGTGTGTGTGTGTGTTCATGTGTGCGCCAGTGATGGGCTTCTTCTCAGACCCACGACTGTCTGCAGTGTCTCAGCCGTCAGAATGAAAACATTATCAATCAGTACCCAACAACAGCTGTTTTTGACAAGTTTCTGTCTGACGCCTAATGCTTTACAACTGTCAATAAGGCTCCTTCTTTGTCTGGCAGTTCGGAGCTGGCCGTCTTGCTGCTTCCGAGCAGCATCCTGTCCTTGTAACCCTAGAATTGGCTGTTTTGGAAATCCACTTGGGGGGGGTGGGGAGGGGGCTTGGACGGGCGAGTGTGGGTGGGTGGTGGGTGGGTGGTATGTGTGTGTATGTCTATCCCTACTTCCATGTAAAGTGCCACAGGTGTCTTAGTTTGCATATTCAACTATTATATAGGAAAAACAGTCTGTTATGTATTTCTTCACTTAGCTTCTTGTTATATTTATGGAAGTTACTCGTTTTTGTACCTTCTTAGCTAAAACAGTTGCCTTTTTGTAATGGCAATTAATTTATATGACAAAACTTTGTACCTACTGTAGTTTATAGTATCGGTTGCTAATTAACTGCCATATTGCCCTGTCTCTCTATTAAAAAAAAAAATCTGTATCTATACTTGGAGGATAACAGATTCATGTGGACAGTTGCCAGACAAGAAGAACTTGTATTGTCCTTGATTTATATATGATTTCCACTATCTTCAAATGAAAATAAACGCTGAGTAGAATTGATGTTTTCGGACTGACTCCTTTCAAGCTTTAGCATTTGGGAGTCCCAGATTTCTGTTTACATTTGTGTTGCCTGTTTAAGTCTTCAAAATAAGTTCTGCTGCTCTTGGGTCAAAACAAATGATTAATTCACATTTCCTTTGAAGCCATTGTGAAAATCTTAAAAGACCGAAAAAAAAAAAAAGTGTCTTTTCCAGTTGGTTTGTCTTCAGCAGCGATTTACTTTCTCAGGAGCTCTTCCTTCAGAATGAGTGAGCAGAGTCCCGATGTTAATGTAAAGTGTCACCTTTCAGTCAAAGCATCATCTTATTGTATTTGCTGTAAAAGCAATATTCTAAGAGTGACTGGTGCAATGAACTGTTTCCTTCAGTGGTGATCGATGCCCTAAGGAAATAAAGATTTTTAAGTGACTCGAGGAAATGCTGTGTATTTATAGGTCCATCCTTAAGAAGGAGAGTATTCTGTAAAAGAGAAAGTGAGAAAGAAAACTAAAGAGATAGATGGATGGAAGAAGAGAAAGAAATAGAAAAAAAGTACATGATAGAAGATGAAAAATTCAAATCCCAGCCCTCGTTTGGTCCCAAATGCAGCATTATCCCAACACATCATTTGACTACGCAGAGAGCTCGCAACACTTCCCTCCTAAGCTGGGATCCAACCTGCATTCCTAGTTTTATTTCCAAGATAGGCAATTAGTAGTTACCAAGTTCCTCAACATCTCAGACCTATCCAGGCAAATGTGGACAGAGCTGTACAACTTTGAAGCAAATGGGTTTGCCTAACGTCCAGATGGAATATTCAGACTCGAGTGGAAACCTCATATTCATGCCTGGCTTCATCTTCTTTATAATTTTAGAGTGCATTTTCATTAACCTTCTGACCTAATGGTGCAAACAGAAAAGGGAAAGTATGTGGAGGGGGACGGGGGAAGTGGGAGTTGCCCTTTGGGAGCCCTCATTTTCATTGAATGTGGGAGGGAGGATCTGTCTTTGTTATGCAGAAACTTTAGGAGAATATAGATTCCCCGCCTTGCTTTTCCACTAGCCTGGGTTCTGGAGATCTGAAGTCCATGCTGTGAAATGCATTATCACATCATGTTGGGAATTCCTGGCTCCCAAGAGTTCACAGCTTTTGGTCACCACTGACTCAGCATGATTAAATGATTTGCATCTCAGAGTTAAATGTTTCCCAACTCAGATGCATGAAGTGACTGATGAGCCTGCGTTTTGGCACCCTACCCCACCCCCCTCGCACCGATTTAGGAACATGAAAAGGATCCCGTGTAAGACCCAGAAGCCTCAGATGGGGTATCCATTTCTCCTCCCCTTCCCCATTCTCTTTAAATTAAAACCTAAACGAGAAACTGGCCTTCCACCTACTGTTTTGTCAAAGCTGGAAATTCTGACCTCTCATCCTGGGGGTTCATCTGTTTGAGACAAACTCTTCATAAAGTGATTTTCTGTGAAACCGAAGAATTTAAAAGGCACCAAGAAGAATCCCTCCAACATAAGCCTTGTCTCGCATCCTTCTTTTACAGAACAAAGTGGAGTAAAAAGTGCGTGATTTTTCGATCAGATTTTCTCTATATTCCCATCTTCATCCATCTCTGCTCTGTCCGCACGCTCTAGTCACTGGATGCTGGTTTAGAAAGGCCACCTACGCTGTTCTTGGGCTTAGCTTGCCCTCACCCTTTCACGTTCCCCTCTGGTTGTCTGATCAAATGCGAGTTGCCATGGGATACTCTATATGAATAACTACTTATTAGAAGGAAAAAGTTCAGGCTTGGTGGTTTAAAGCAACCTTGTTTACCATGTATAGTGTTATATGGTCACTGGTACCCTGTTTGGAGAATAAGGAAAGGGACTGCTCAATTTTGTGCCTTGCTAGGTTCAGCCTGGCTAGGACCCAGTGTGACCCCTGACACCCCACTGCTGAGACAGACATTTCCACATCCGTGGACCAACATGAGAACAGCCATCACATCGCACATAGAGGATCTTCTGCAAACAACAAAGAATGATTAATTCCTTTTTTCCCTTTTCTTGTTCAAAAGTCTCTCCCTCTGATTCTGATGCTCTCAAAATAGTCTACCCAGATATTTCAGCCCAGTTCTTTCTAGTAGTGATATTCCAACCATGGAGGTCAGTTGGGCAGGGTTGTCCCCAGAGAGGAAAGCCTGGCTCAAGTGCATGGGGACAGGGCACACAGTGACAATGAAAATAAGCCTTTAATAAACATCATGCTCCCCGGCTCCCTTATGTCCCTATTTCCTCATGGGAGATGGGCAAGATGGTCGTCTCACAAAAGCCTCAGATCACTTACATCCCAGGCAACCTTCCTTGCAGGTGTGAAACTCAGCCTAAAATGCCACAACCTTCTCTGACAAGTGATTCATTGAGGCAAAGACTGGAGCTCCAGCATCAAACAGATGTCAGACAAAACACCAAATGCCTATAAATGATTGCTTTGCAAGCAATGGAATGACTGGAAGGCCTGGCCTGATGATGTACTCCATGTCTGGACAAGCTTACAGAAGACATAGGTGGTGGGGAGGGGGCAGGGGAGCCGTTTCTAAATGGAGTCTGTGAAGAAAGCTGTTTCTGGAGACAAGTGAAACCATGATTCTCACCTGAGAGGTTCATGTAGAGAAGAAGGATTTCTGGCTGGTCTGCGCATAATACATGTAAAGATCAGTTAGAAAAATGCATGTCAAGGGCACCCTGAAGCCCAGACTGGTACGATGTGATGTTAAATCAGTAGACATATAAATATATCAGAGTAAATTAAAAATGAGATTTGGTTGGAACGGAAACTGCTCAGCAAAAGGCAGAGACAGGAATGCAAACAGTAAGTCTGGCTGTCATTCTCTATAATCTGGAGCAAGTCAGGCTCGGCTCTGGACCTTCTCCAGTTGTTTTACAACTTTCTAGACATGGGGTGTATCAACCTGGTGCTTTTATTAAGCGGCTTCGACAGGATTTTCAAATGACAGCTTGTCAAGAGTCAACCATTGTCCTTTTTGCAGGTTTTATGTCGCATTTGAAACTTTCAGTTTCGGTAATTTTAAGGGGTTTCATCTATTCATTAATTTGGCATGTTTTTGTGGAACACCTCCTCTGTACCAGGCATTGTGTTAGATGCTTGGGACACAGGAGTAAATAGGACAGACTTGGCCCCTGCCGAGTCTGTAGGACTTTAATTCCTGGAACATTGGTTACATTGGATTATTTCTATGACCCTAGAGAATTTTTGTAGTGGGGCATGGGGGAGAGACGGGGGATTTGGTTATGTTAAAATTCCAATGTGAATCTCTAGATTTTAAAATATTTTTTCTTGGTCCTAATTCTTGGTTTTCAGCCCTCCTGATTTAAAATTGTCTTTGAATGCAATTTAGTTTCTTTTGAGACCATTAATAAAAAACTAGAAATGTAAACAAACACAACAGAAAAGGCTTATGCCTCTTTTTTGCATCTTTCTAAATAGAACTGTCTAGAGCTAGCACCTTTTATTCTGTCCTGTTTTTGTGTTTTGGGGGGATTTTTTGTTTTTGTTTTGTTTTTTACTGCGGCAACAACGAAGCATGTGTCTACCACACAAAAGTGCTTCCAAAGTGCAAAAACCAAACTCTGTCAATCACCTCCTGTTCTTTTCATCTTCTCTGTATTCAAAGGGCTTTACCTCCTCTGGAAGTAGCTTGGTCTCTTCTTTCTGTCTGTCGATCCGACAAATGATCTGTATCTTAAATGTTGAATTTTGAATCTCTAAGAGCAACCATTCTAATTCCGTGGCTGTCTCTTGTGATTTATTCCACCAAACAGTGAAGGCTGCTGTGTAAAAAGGCATGCCACAATTCACATGCCCAGACAGAGGCAGTAACCTGTAAGCTATATAACCCCCTGGATTTTTTTTTTTTTTTTTTTTTTTTTTTTACCTAGTCAAAGCTGTGAGTTTCAAC